CGGTTCTGTCTTGCCAGGTGAGGGGAAAAGAGCAGATAAGGCCTGTAAAAAGTAAGTATTTTCTGTGCTAATAAGCCTGTTAAGCATATCGCTGTGAGACCCCGCTTCACTCTCTCAAAACACAACTGTGCCATTTTTTACAGGATTTGAAAACTTTTTTCTTGGTAACAATAGTACAGGGTGCTTTTGAGAACAAGGTTTGTGGTTCCAGTTTTACACAGATAACTGAAATACCTGATGAAAGGAGGGAAGTAAAGCCCTGTCTCACTTGTCAGTCGCTGGCACCCGTGGTCGTGGGGAGGCTGAGCTCTCGATGGCCATGCCACCCCTCCGGCTGTCCCTCTACAGAGTCGCTGCTGCTGTAACAATGTCTGGACACTGGCTGAAGAGAGCGAAGGTGTGGGAGGTCTCTGGAGGCGATTTCATGTTTTTGCAGACACAAGGAGAGTTGGGCAGTCCAAGGGCCCAGGAGCTTCTCACGGGTTGCTCGGAGGGGCACGGACTGTGTTAACCGCCATGACAACTGTGGGGCCTGCTGAGGGGCCAGTAGGAAGGGCTCATTCAGGTACAGTTAGCACTTGGATGTGGAAGTCATTTTACTGGCGTGGTGCCTCTTTTGTAGGGGTTTGCCTTTGCTGTAGGTTTTTGGGTTTGTGGGGGTTTTTTCGTATTTATTGTGAGAGATCATTTTACTTGTTTCGCATAAAAGAAAATAAAATCTTTTGTCTAGTTGAAGCAGACAAATGTGACAGCACGGAGCGTGAACAGACGTGAGCCTGTGTGATGGTTTCTTGTTCTCTCCACTATCATACAACAAGGCAGTAGTAGCAGTTACTTTTGCTTTTCTTGTTGAATCCTAGATTGTGAGAAATGCAAGATGATTTTCTCTCAGACCTTTTTTTTAAAAGAACAAAACAAAACAAATCCTACAGTGTGATCTTGTTTTCAGAAACAAGAAGGGTGATGTAGTTTTACATGCAGCTTCACTGAAGTCTAAAGCGATGTAGCCTAAGGCAAAACATACCTGGACACCCCGTAACTCTTCAGTGGAAGTCTGAGCGATATCTTTCATTTGCAATTCATAGTACGACCTAGGTTATGGTATATTTATGATCATCATGATCAGTTATCATATGGAGTGCAGATGCTTGGAAAGTATTTACATGGTAATTTGAAGAGTTCAGGTAGCTGGTGGTGAAGGATGGGATTCCAGAACACAGCACCAATGGAAGTGAAGCTCCTATTACCTCCAGGTCAGGCACAGCTGCAACTCGCTGCTGTGTTACTTCTCTGCCCAAAGAACCATTCCAACTGGAGAGTTGCATTTTAGTGCAAACCTCATTAAGCAAAAAAGGTTTTACACAGGCACTGCCCCCCCCCCCGCTTTGCTGAGGATCCACCTGTGCGTGCGTGTTAAGCTGTTGCAAAGCAGAGCTTGCATTGGCAGTGCTCCCAGTTAAAATACGTGTCAATTTTGCAGTTTCTGCAGGGCTGAGCTAATTGGCAGAGGCTCGACTTGGCTGTCAGGCTTCCCACGGGAGCCGGCAGAGAATTACACAGCCAGCTTGAAGTCCCTGGAAACTCATTTATGGAAAGAAGGCAAAGGTAAACAGGCACATCCTGTGCCTCAGAAATAAGGACATTAATGAATTAAAATAGACTGACCTGAGACCTGGTCTTTCCAGTCTGAGGGGCGCTGCTGCTGTAGGCAGTTTGCAGCTGTGGGGACAGAAGCACCTGCACTGCTCTGCGGGGGACAGCCAGGCGCACCTGCTGACAGAAATGGGGCTGCTCAGGAGCGCTGGCTGGAATAATTAGCTGTGTCCATACTGCATGCTGGTCCCAGCCCAGCGCCTCCAGGCCAGTGCCCTCCTTACTCACTGCCTCACCACTGTTTCCTCCCTGTTGATGTGCAAAGGACACAACTTGTCAAACTAGACAGATCAAAAGTGGCATTAATCCCCCTCCGGAGCTGCTCCTACAAGTAGATGTCAAAACTTAATGGTTGGGGTCCAAAATTCGTCTGGCTTCTGTCCTGCTAATTGTGGTCTGAGCCCTGCCTGTTTTTGGGAGGCGAAGGTGAGCTGCGCAGTCCCTAGCAGTCCTAAAAAGGGGTGGCCAACAACTTGTCAAACTAGACAGATCAAAAGTGGCATTAATCCCCCTCCGGAGCTGCTCCTACAAGTAGATGTCAAAACTTAATGGTTGGGGTCCAAAATTCGTCTGGCTTCTGTCCTGCTAATTGTGGTCTGAGCCCTGCCTGTTTTTGGGAGGCGAAGGTGAGCTGCGCAGTCCCTAGCAGTCCTAAAAAGGGGTGGCCACTCTGTGGCAGGTGGTGGAACACCTGGGCTTGCTGCACCCCTGCAGGCACGGGGCGCTGCGGGATCATGTCACCCATCCCGCAGCAGCCGGAGGCTTGAGTGAAGCAGGAGCCTGGGTCAGTCCAGGTCCAACATTGGGCCCTTCCTGGTGTGGTCCATGGGTAGGAGCAGGGTTGTCCAGGGAGTGTGGGGGGGAAGAGATGCCACCAGTGGTAACGTTGGTACCTGTAGGGCAAAAGCTTGGGCACTCACGTGCAGACTGATTCAGTCCCTACTTACAGCTGTAATAGTAGACACTGCATAGAATTGTGGGATAAATAACAAACCAGGATTGGGGATGGGAGTTAGGGAAGAAGAGCTTCAGCTCATGCAGTTTGGATGCATGTACAAGTAGCTGGGCTCTCTCCCACTCCCAGTTTCAGTCTGGAGTGGCTTTTATTCCTGGCATGAGATGTTTCACAGTTACTCCCCCTGCCACCCACCCCCCTTCTTCTGTCAGTGGTGGGGGGCTCCTGTGTGCTGCTAGCAGCTGGCAGGGCAGGCTTGCTGCTTTTTTGGCTCTATGACTCAGCTCCTCTCACACTTGAGTGCTGTGTCCCTGAAGGCTCCTCTTGCTGCCGGCTGAGGAGCGCTGCCTTGCGACTTCACCATGACGTCCCCTCTCAGGAAGTGACCTCTGGGCAAGCATCCTTCAGCTTCACGCTAGGGCAGCTTCAGGGGCTTCTGGTTAGAGGGGGAGATGGAAGCTGGAGGCTGTGGCCATGGTTCTGAGCACCTGTGTCTGGTTGTGCACCCTGGCTTTGTCCCCTCTCCTGGTGGGGTGGGAGGTGGCAGAGGAGGACTCCAGAGCCGCGCTGTCCTGTTCCACCTTGTTGCTTCGCACCCACAGCCAGGAAACAGACGGAAGTGAGATCCCACCACACACCCTGTTTTTTGTCCCCCCCCTGAGGTGGAGCCTTTTGTCACTTCGCTGGAATAAGGTGGGACTGATCCTCACAGTCCATAGATCCGAATAAATGCATGCTAAACCCAGACATTCTCTATGACTAATGCCATGACAATTTTGTTGTAAATTTTGTTTGCATTATTAAAGATTTTTCTTTCCCCTCCTCCCCTAGGCAATAGAAATGTGTGTGTATGTGCGTGCATGTTTATTCATAAATCTGTCAAGTTACAAAATACATCTGAAAAAGTATTTTGTATTTAATTATAGAGAATAAGATTTAAGAAAGCCTGCAGTACCTTAAGCTCGGGCTGCTGTTCCATTCTGTGACGATAAACTGGGAAGGATGCTGCTTTTTGTACTTCCAACACTGTTGCTAAATAAAAGCAAGCTATTTTACTTAGCTATTCTCTTGCTATTAACATTTAAAGACAGGCCAGGCTGGAATCTTTTCCTGCCCCCAGAGCGCTTTGTGCACATTGTATTTACGAAAGCTGAATTAGGTAATAGCATTTTCAAAAAGCTCCTGAGCTGGCTGCACTTGACTTCATGTCACTGTGTTGCTTTCTGAGTGCAATAAGCAAGAGGACTGGGTCCACGTCTCCCTACTGTCCCCCATGGGCACAGATGGGGTGGTACCTGCAGGACTGGGAATACTGGCTTCCATTTTGGGGGAAGGCCAGGGGCACTGGATTCTTCCATCTTGCCGTGTTCCAAAAACTCAGTTTCAGAATTTCTCAGTTTACTTGGTAAAGAATTTGTGCTTAACTATATGCAAGAATAGTTAGGTCCGCTAGTATCAAATACTTTTTAACTTTTGTGTTCTTACGCATCTCTTTGTTTTAAAGGAGTCCAGTTAATCTTCAGGAACAGTGTGTTGTGTCTCATACATGTAGGATACCAACATAGAGGCAAAAAGACACCAGGCTTACAGACGACTGTGAAAGCTGAAGCTTTATTTTGTCATCTGGCATATGTTACGTAAAGATGCTGTGGATTTAGCATTAAGGTGATGAGTTATGACTGTTTATTAGCTCCAACCCCAACAAACAGAGGGAAAAGTAACGAGTGGCAAGAGGAAATCTAGTGCAAGCAGGAAGCCTTTCAACCGAGATCCTTTAAGTTGTGTCTGTCACTTCAAGGAGGATAGATAGGGACTTGACAGGGTTCAATTTCACTGCATCATGCAAAGAGCAGGATTAAATGCAGAACTACCTATTTGACCTAGATGGTGGTTCTTCCCTATTTTCCTCTCCTGGATTGGATAGTCCACAGCAGGCCTCTGTCCTGCCCGTTCTATCCCCAGGAGAGTCAGATGCGTTCCCTGTTGTCATCACTGCTCGACCTCAGCTGTTGCTAGGGACAGCTGAAAGATGTGCACCACAGTTTCTCTTCCCACGGGGTCAGAGGCACTGCCTTGGCAGAGCTCGCAGATTAGATGGATAGGGGAGATGCCACCACAGGTGAGGATGAATTGTAAGGTACTGATGCGGTACTGACACAGTCATACTACAGGTAGTGGGTTTTCATCTCTTCTGTCGCATTACTAGCAGGTATGTATCATCCAGAAGGGACTAAATAAATGCTTACACAGTGACCACAATGCTTACCACATCGAGCAGCCTGTTTATTGTCAATCTGGAAACTGGTTTCCCAGACTGCTTGTGAGTAATGAGGGGAAGGTGAGCTTCCAAGGCAGCCCACAAGAACTTCGGCCTTTTTAGGAGTGTGCCTTTTTCTCCAGCCTGTGGACCACGTGAAAGGCCTCTAAAAATTCACTGAAGTCAATGTGGCCATCTTTGTTGTAGTCTATGCTGAGGACTAACTTGTCGAGGGATTCATCGTATACATCGATGCCCAGGTGAGAAGTGAAGAGTTTCCATGTCTGGCTGAACTCCTCCAGAGAAATCAGCCCTGAAGGAGACAGACAACAGACTGCTTTGCCCAGTGCTGTTTCCATTTCCTACATACGCGCACACATGCATGCACACTCCTTCGCTGCAGGAAAGCTACCTGCCTGCTGTGGTTTGAGTCTGTTCTGTGATTTCATGACTAAAGTACATTTTTACTTAAGGTAATGATCTAGTGCTTTCAACAGTGGAATTGAGAAAGCAGCAAATAGAGTGGAAGGGAGGAAAAAGCCCCTGAAAGAGTGAAGCCAGTACTGGAGCTGGGATATATGAGAATTGTTTCTCAAGTTAGGCTCTGTGCACTGTCCCTTATATGGTTACAGCCTGACTGCTTAAATTAGTCCTCGCTAAACTGGAAAAATGACATCACCTCTGGTTCCTCTATATTTAGAAGCCTTAAGGAGGAAACAGTGGGGAAAGATAACTAGTATAGGCTTCCTAGAGCTGGTACAGTGAAGTTGCCTTGACTTACCTGAGTGATCTTTGTCAATGATGTTAAAGATGATCTCCAGATCCTTTCTGTACCTGCACAGTGTTTCCACCAAAGCTGGCTGAACCTGGTTTTGAAATTCCATACAGGAAATGGATCAGACTGTGGTTTTGAGTTATTCTAACCAACAGAATATGTACTACCCGAATCTATGTTCCCAGTTTAACTTCTCAAATGTTTAAAAAAACCCCAACCCTTATGCTCGAGTTGCCTGGAATGATAGTTTGTGTCGTGCCCTAAGGAATAATCAGCTAAAACCTGGGACGTGGGGAGGAGGAGCCCTTCACACCTCCTACCTTCTGTAATTATTTGTGGAAATACAGATAATCTAGGGAAGATGCTGTATGCCATGCACTCATACAAAGCTTTCGCTGCACATATGTGAATGGATCCTGCTGCTTAGAAAAAATATGCGCACAGGTAAGTACTGCGCACCACTGGGTAACAATGGGACTCTCTAGAAGAGACCTCAGCTACCATTAGACATCTGAAAGTCCATCTACAACTCTAAGTCCCTCCTACAGGTGCCTGAATTGGCTCTGGAGCACATTTGGAAAGCTCATCTCAAAGAGTGAGGGTTGACTGCTCTGGGTAGGATTTGTCGCATCTCCTCAGCTACGTTATCTAAACGCCCTTGAGAGTCAACGGAAAGTAAGAAGCAGTTCTAGCATGTGATTCATCCAACCTATTTTAAGCATCTACCTTAGCAGGGAATGATGATTTGTACCCTAGCAGTGCTCATTTCCCTCCAGTGACTATAAAAGGAAGCTCAGTAACTAGTTCAGCTGTGGATGTCTACCTGATTGGCCAAACCGCTGTCTTATGCCTAAAATTGCGCCAAAAGCTGTTCCTCCAAGATTTGCAAGGAGGCGTTTTCCTCCTTACCTCTTTTACAGGTTGACCTATTTTCAAATCGTAAAAACATGACATGAAGTCAACTTCTCCATCTGGGTTCATCTGTGCTAACTGAGACCGCAGCATCCTCCAGGGCAGTTCCAGCTGTAGGACAGACTCCATGGCTGCAGCCCAGTCATTGACAGAAATCTTGCCTGCCAGAAGGGGTCAGTTCATGGTTACAAGCAGTACATGACACAGCATAAACCAGTCACCAGTATGCCTTCTGCCACTTTTAACAACAGTTGCAAAACACAAACATTTTCTCCTAACCCTGGGATAAAAACCCTCATAACAATGAGCAGCAGGGATGGACTAGACATTTCCATAGGTCCCTTCCAATCTCAACAACTTTGTGATTCAATTACGATATTCAGCATGTTTTCATTCCTTCTGAGAAAACCAGATTACGCTCTGGAGAGTACTTCAGATTTGAGCTGAGCAGCAACTAAAGAGACATATGTGGCTGAAAACTAAAGACAGAAATATGTTAAGTAGTTGTTCAATGGCCAAAGAAACACTACCATCATATTACTGATTGCCCTTTTAGGGACACAGATGACAACCCAGTCAAGTGAGAGGCCATCATGAGGAAAAGTTGTATTTCTGTTAGAAATCATCAACTCCGTGCTCCTATGTAAAAGGTTGATGTATCAATGCAGCACTGACTTTTCTTTAGCTGATGAGTGAGTGTGTGTGTCTGCTAGTGGCATAGCCAGTCAACTTTACTCAGGTACCTCCTAGACTCAGAAGGAGACCAGTTCCCTGTCTGGCATCTTCTGAAGACACATCTAAGTGAAGGTGGTGACCTTTGAGCTTCTGGAGCTGTATCTGCCTGCCCAAACTCTCTGCCTAACAACAACCACTATTTCCTTTTTTGCCCGCGTGTTTCAGTTGTTTACATCTTCCTACTTAAAGCTTCATCCCCTCAAGTTGTTTTCTATCCTCCTGGGGTGAGGAAAGACATATGATCAACCAGCCTCTGCTGCTCTCCAGCCTTACACTGGCAGGCAGGACCCCTCTCCACGAGGTTTGTCCCCTCTGCCCCCACACACACAGGGAAGCTCTTTTCCCCATGCTGGCAACTGGATGGAGAGGTAGTGTTACCTGTGCCATTGAGGTCATACTGTGCAAACGCAGTGGTGAGTTCAGACCTGTGAGCATAAATCTTCTCTCGTAAGGACTTTAAGGCAGATGATTCAATTGTACCCACCCTAGGAGGAAAAAAAATGCAGAGCAGATCATTAAAGGATTTAAATCCTCTAGCATTTTATGCTTTTCAACATTCATTATCAAATTCTTACATCCTTTAACATGTAGTATCTTTAGGGTCACCCTAGACGACAACACTGAAGGGTGGAGGGGGGAAACCCAAAACAAAGCCCCATAAGAATAATCTGAACTTATAATAATCAAGTTTATGCAGGTAATTCTAAGCTGCTTTGCTTTAGCAAATCTGACCACAGTGCTAGGCATGGCAAAGCCATCATGATAAACTTTTTGGACTCAATTCATAACAGGATTTGTCCAGATTAATGCAGCAGCCTTAAAGCAGACCTGACAGACAGGCACAGGCCCTTTACAAGTCCCTGGCAATTGTCTGTCTAACCGCTTACCGCGGCTAATTACCTTTGGGAGTTTCTCAGGAAACCAAGTTAGAGCACTTAGAACATGTTTTGTCTACTGTATTAATTTTTAAATTGTAAAACAGAAAAACAAGGAAAACCAAGGAAAATAGATGTCTATTCAATTACTCAATCAAACTATAGATTTGTGGCAGGTGCTCACGTGCTAAGTGAGTACACACTCACTGCATACAACACACAGCTTTACCTCTCCCGAAGATTCTGCCTGCGTGTGTACTTGCTGACTCGATACTGGACAAACCGAGGAATCAGTTCAGGATTCAGTTTGATGTATGCTCCCCGGTTGCTCCCCTCTTCGTAATAGTTAGAGGCAGAAAATATAGTGATAACCTGATCATAGGAAACAAAGAAATTGGATTGGTTAGAAGAACTCTTCTTGAGACTGATTTCGGAAACCGATCTTAGAAAAACGTGCAGGTTGCAAAACTGTCTACGTATAAAACCAGAGATCAACAACTATGTTGTTCACCAAATTGCTTGCACTTTTTGAGTCGGAGTTCCAGGCCTGTATTTTTGGTCTGTCATAGGAAGACTTCAGTTCAGAGGGCACTGTGATATAACGTGTTAACAGAAACCTCTTTCTAAGACAGTTGGTTTTCAGGATTCTTGCTGGCCTCCTGATATAGCATCTCAGAAAACAGGGCCAAAAGAGAAATTATTACGTTAAAGGCTTCTAGAGCCTTAGAGCATCTCTTGCACTATATTTACACCTAACACTCCTCAGGGATTTTGTTCATGTTCATTTGTTTTCACATGAGTAATAAGCCAGTCCCCACTCTCTGAAGCTGTAAAGAATTTTGTCAGAACTCCATAATTTGTTCCAACATCTATCTAGCACACAATTCCCCCAAACCCATTTTAAAGAAGTCACTCTTCTTTTTTTCATTAACTTTGCAGACAAATCTACTGTGGATGTGCCTGTGAATTCTACTTTACATGGAAGTAAAGTAGAATTCTTCACAGGAGAATTCTACTTTACGTGGAAGCATCTTACCTTCCCATCATGACTGATCTCATAACCTTCTGGCTTAAATTCATGAGACCTGATGAGCATCTTCAGATTATACCTTTCAAACAGCTTGGCAGTGACATCAGGACCAAAGTAACAACCACCTCCTCGACACTTGTTTGGTGTACAGCCATTTTGGCTTCTTGGATCACTCCAGAGAATATCAAGGATCTATAAAATGCAGATTCAAGCACGTGAGGACTGGTAGTAGGTGAGGATTGACAGGCTATGGCTGTCTAAAGTACTGGCCATGGCAAAAGCCCCACAGTACAGGGAGAAAACACACCTGAGCTAACAAGTAGGTCTTGTGTTTTCTTCCTTTCAGCAGGGCATTCGTTTGGGCTGAAACTTTTGTTCTACTTTTCTTAAGAAACATTATCTAGATTTTGGATTAACTTTATTCAGATGAAATATCATTTCAGAAATGTGCCTCCTTTTATAGCTGAGGTTTCCAGACTCAGGTAGGTGCATCAGGAATGGTACCTGGGCTATTGCAAAGAGAGCAAAAGATGCCTTCTTCACATGTAGGTGTGAGAGGCATTTTCTGTTTCCTGGCACAGACCTGCTAACCCCACTGGTCAGTGGTTTTTACCTACACTAAGCTCGGGAGTGCCTGCTCTAAACATGACAAGAGTTGTCTTTGGCTTTATTGTCTTCGGTTAGCTCACGTATCAAAATAAGATTTGACATACTAGCATTTTAGCCAGATTCAGACGTAAGGATGAATTATCATGGTTTAAAGTCACCTAACGTAGTAAGTCCAGTCAGTAGCATACATTAGGCAAAATGTGTTTGGTTAAACCTCTCTGGACAAGGTTTACACTAACACATTCCACTTCCCATTTGTGAGTGTGGCTCAGTGGATGCTTGGTTAGCTGGGGTAGTGTCAGATTTGGGGGGGATTGCTTGTGCCCATTTTGTTAGTTTGTTGGTCAGATAGGTACCTTGGGAAATCACACTTTCACAGATGGATTTGCTTCTCAAGAAGCAGAAGAAAAATCTCTGCCCTTTAAAGCAGTTGTCTGAAGAGAAGTTCAGAAAAATAAATTTATATAAGTCAATTTTGAGCTTCTAAATTGTTCAAATTAAGCTTTTCTAATTCTCACAATTTATTAAATTACAGTATGACAAGAGCTCCATATTGCCTCTAATATTTAAGAGGAAATGAACACCCAGGAGACAAAAATTTCCCACTCTTGAGTAATCAGCCTGTAGGTCTCAGGAGTAGTGGGGTTTTTTGGACAGTATTGACATTCAGCTTCCAAAACCACAGCCAAAAAAGCCACTCACTATCACCAACAATTGCAGTCTGACCTATTTAAACTGAAAACCACATATGTACCAACAGATCCAACCACACGAGGGCATGCAAACACATCTCATACTGAGCAGTTTCCTCCTAACGGCTAAGAAAAGAAAACACTGGGTAAATTGTACTTGTAAGGTATAAAATCACAAGCCTTTATTACTGGGTCTACAAAAAGCATCTAAATAACTAATAGCTAGCTAGTATACTCCCAAGAATGATGGGTTTCTTATTAAGACACAGTCACCTCAGACTCAAACATATTGCCTGAACAGAGTATCCGCCAGTGGTTTTGTGCAGGGGGGGGGGTCAGTATCAGTCTCTTCAGTTTCACTTACTTGTTTCCATTCCTTCAAGGCAGGGTCTGGCGCCAAATTCGAGCCTGAAGGCTCAGTGGAACCCGATGAAGAGATGCGGTGTGTTTTCCCTGCAACACTGTGGTCAGCAATGTATTTACTGGGTCTGGTTGTGGGAATTCTCTCCTTCATTTGGTCCTGTCTGTCTCTCACTGACTTTGGTGGCCTCATCAAAGATTTCAACTTTAAAAAAAAAAAAAAAGTTACCAGAACATAAAGATGATACGGAGATGTCAGCTGAAAGGCACATCAGTTCCCACTTCCTGTACTCAATATTGAACTCTCATAATGTCCTGAACTCACAGGTTTGGTGGAAGCTGCAGGTGTTTGGCACTTGCAAAAATACTGCTTTATATCTATCAGTGACCAGTCTCTTCAGAGCTGCTCTCATATTCTTATAAAGACAGACTCATTTCAAGCCACAGTCAATCATAAGGTGTCACTATATAGCGAGTACGGTCTGGGCTCAGGGATGACACTTAAGTGCCCAGCTTCACTGGAAACTGAAAATATACATGTATACTGTATACAGGACATGGAGCTGTTGGAGTGAGGATGTTGGCTATGAAGATGACCAGAGGGCTGGAGCACCTCTGCTATGAGGACAGGCTGAGAGAGTTGGGGTTGTTCAGCCTGGAGGAGAGAAGGCTCCGGGGAGACCTTATAGCAGCCTTCCAGTACCTAAAGGGGCCTACAGGAAAGCTGGAGAGGGACTGTTTACAAGGGCATGGAGTGACAGGACAAGGGGTAATGGCCTTAAACTGAAAGAGGGTAGATTTACATCCTACCCAAACCCTTCCCACCCAAACCATTCTATGATTCTATGATACTGTACTGAATATGAAACTGCATTCACTACTGCTCTGATACAGTAGCATGCTGCTAGGTTAATTTGGCTAAAATAAATGGAATATCAGGAAGATAACAGCGAAACTGATGAAGTATTATATCAGGCCCCTTTACTGTTAAATCAACTTTCTCCAATACGCATGGGCATTTGCTTTTTTGGAGCTATGTGCTATGGCTCCATGAATGCCCATTAATACAGACTCTTCTCCAGGGAGTATCTTTTCTTCTCATTTGAAATTTTCTCATACTAGCTCATTTCCAAATCAAAAAAAACTCAACAACGAAACATGCATACGCACACCCTAAATGCTACTCTTTAATGAAGAAAAGGACTGATGCAAAACAAAATGCAAAACACTAGGTTATTCCCCAGTGCACTGACCAGTATTTCAGACCTGTCAGCTGCCAGCTGTACCAATTAAAATACATCAGTTGGCCTTGAGTGATATTGCCCTGAGTTGTGGCCCACACATGTCTCATTAGCAACCATCTCCCATGGCAGCAACTTTGACCTGCTACTTCTGCATTGCACAGGTACCACATCAGTAACATGGTGAGCCCAGCCTTAGTGAAAGTGTGGGCAGAACTCAGCTCGCAGTTGACACCTACATCTTTAGTTAAGCAACCAATTTTAGTGTACAGTGGTATAGCCAACAGAGCCTAGACTCCGATGATCAGAAGTATTCATTGCTCTTTTTCACTTCTTTAAGAAACAGTGATACACCTGACTGTCCTGTAAAAGATTTATTTCTGTATTAGAAAACATAAGGATGAGAGAAATAGCTCTAGATTCCACACACACTAATGACAAGGTACACAAAGTCACTTAAACAGATGTATCTCGTGCCATCTGGGATACTCTATCATGTCTGTGAACTAGTGTGAGATGGACAGATATGAACCAGATCTAAATGAGACCGGTGGAGGAGATCTGCGAAGACAACTTTCTCCAGAGGCAGGCAGAGGCCAGAGGGGACATCCCTAGGCTATGGGGTGTTCCACAAATACCACTGGAGACCTACATCTGAGTAATTATAAGATCTGGATCTCTGTACCAGATCTCCTGGATCTCCATTGATTATAAGAAACCTAAGCACCCTGCTCAAAAGCAGATAGCTCAATTTAGTTGTCCAAATCGAGACCAAATCCCACATTTCCCACTGATTTGAAAGAGCTGTGTTTGCTCATCATTTCAGAAAAAAATTTGGATGTCTCTGTCTTCTAAATCCCTGAAAAGCAGTAGTTTGGGTTTTCTAAAGGCCAGGTTGTGAAGTTTGAGCCTGCTGGAAAGGCTCTCCCACATATGCAAAGCTCAGCTGCTGCCAAGGAAGCACCTCACAGGTGGAAAATTTCCCCCACACAAGAGAAGTCAGAAGCACAGCCCCAGGACAAAAGGCAGTGCTAGAAAGAAGTGGCTACATTGATTTCTAAAGTGTTTAGAAATGCCTGAGAATTAAGTAGTTTTCATACTTTCTGGCTAATGCATCATCACTGCAGGAAGGAGGTACCTAAAGTATTTTTAGCTATTTTAGAGTCAAAAGACCCATGTTGTTTTACAGCAGCCAAACAACTGGCTCCCAACACCTACTGAACCCTTCCTTCCTAAATACTGATGCCGAATTAAAACAAGACTCTTTTTTTCCTTATGTGCCTTATACAGCAGCCATTTCCTCTCCTAAAGCAAACAACTTGATCTTACGATTTGTACTGCTAAATTTTTTAAAGAAAACAAAATTACCCCCACATGAATACGATTTCTTACCTTACTTCTCTCAAGTGCATTCAGGAAATCCAAATCTGTGGTGTCTGAAATCCCTCCGTGTAGAATAAGAACTTTGCTATCAACTATAGTGGCGAGAGGAAGCCAGCTAAAAACATCTCGCAGAAGATACAAAATCTGTTTCCCATGGTCCTGTAAAACATACTCTTATATTAGATCCTATTTCTGGAAGATTCTGTTGCTTCTAAGTTCAAGATTTTGCTGAAGTGTCTGCCACAGTCTGTATGAACAGTTCACTCTGACACCCCGAACTGCAACACTGACAAACATGTTCTGGTTTAGGGCCATTTCATTGTCTCTATAACATTTTGGGGTTTTTCATGCTCACCTCCTTTTGTGTTCTTGAGTTGCCTTATGGATGTTATTTATTTCATCCCACAGATCTCTGAGCATAAAAAGCTAACACTTAGAATTGTTTTGTCAGTTATTCCACTGATAATCCAAAATAATTTCAAATACGTTACTAAAGTCATTCTGTACTACACCTAAATAAACTGGTTGGAAGTCTCCTTGTTTACACAGGTTTCATTTTGCATGTGCAAGACTACAAAGGAAGTATAGGGAAAGGAAGAGGAACCTTACCTTGTACTTCTTTGAAACTTCTTTCGTGAAGCCATATCTGAAAATAGGACAGCATCATGAACTGGTTTTCATTATGCCCCTTCTGCATGATTTTCTGCACTATAGTGTTTGCCAGGAGTTTTCTATTCCTCTTTTTCTCCTGCCATTGTGTCTCACCTTTTAAATGTTTAAATGGGCTTTCTTCTGCTCTGTCTCAAGAACTGAGTTAAACTGATTTCTTGTACATACAAGAGATCAGGAACAGAATCCAGACCAATAATTATTAAGTGGCCTTTTTCCCATCTAAATGAAATAGCCTAGCAGTTTTACCTTTTAGATACCAGACAGAAATTTCAAAGGAACCTAACTGACCATAGGCAAAAATTCCCACAAAACCTCCACAGAGTTTTTGTCCTAAATCACTCAACTTTATTAGACAATGTTGTCTATCATGTCTTTCCCCCCCACCCCCCGCCCCGCAAGGGACAAGGATTTTGATACTTCATTCTTTTAACTCCAAAGTATCCATGGTGCAAGGGGCATTTTCACAACACTCTAACTCGCAGCTTTCAAATTTACTGATGTGCAGCACTGCTAATGAACATGCCCAGCAAAGAGCCATACACAGGAATGCATCTTTGCACTCGGGACCATCACAGACTTAGTTAATGTGTTCCACTATTCTGGGTGGGAATTTTCCACCTTTGTAGATAAAATAACTGTCTTGGTTTATGTTTGTTTTTATTTTTAATTAAGTAAGTGCTGAAAAAGGGAGTATCACATGAAACGGATTCTCTTAGGTGGATCATTAATAGGATTTGAACATGGGTATAAACTCAGGTTTATATCTGTGTTAAAACAGCAATATATTCTGTATGCATGCATCAAATAATAGAAGGGATACAACAGGTTACCCACCAGACAGTCACACAAAGACTTACTGGGGTGGCTTAGAATTGTAGAGACCAAGACTGAGGAGTTCTTCTCATGTCTGTGAGATGGTTTTGACTACAAGTCACACTTTCACTACAGCCAGAGACACTGGCTGTGCTCACTCCCTTGCCAGTGCTGTACAGCTGAGTAAAATGTCTGTATTAGAAAGCAGCATCTCGGCTGTTCCTGCAGTGGGGCAGAATGCCACCTCTCAACTAATGGACCTCCACTGTATAGAAGCTAGGATATTTACCCACCCCTTGTGTTTGGGAAGTGACATCTTAGTCTAAAGTTAAGTGAAATATCAATTCCTGGTTTACTGGTTCCATTATATGGCATACTATTATGTCTTTTGCTACACTGTGGAAAAAGCCAATGCTTTAACTAAAATATCATCCTCCCATTCATCCTCTTTCCCCAGATCTGGTAATCTGGAAGCTGCGCTAAACCCATGGACTTCAATGGATTGTGATGAGGTCAGAGACAAGACATGACTCCTGTTCAAGCATCTGTGCGTACTGAGGATGTTCTTTGCGCCCCTCACACATCTTGAAGATGCAGAGCTACACCTGAATACCTAATAAAACATTATTTCTGTTTTAAAGTGTCATAGTCACTAAAGTGGCATTCAAAAGCTCCAACATTCCTAGTGAAAGGCCAGATACTCCCTCCCCCACACCCCCTGAAATCCACCTCAGGTTCATGATGTAGTCTTCGTGGTTTCCTCTATTCAAGTGTAAATCATTGGGGTAGATAAGAAGAAATGCAAACAGGATTATAAGTATTTCCATAGAATTTTTCCCTCTGTCAACAAAATCACCATTGAAGACGTAACGGTTTTGTTCTGAAGGCAGACCATTCTGCAGAAGGAAACAAAAACAGCATTTAGAGATGCTGCTATGCTATGGTAATAAAGGAAATAACATTTCAAATGACATCACATTGCTAGAAAATCTGAAAAAAACCCTGCATAAACACAGATATAAAATGTAGCATTTCGTTATTTCCACTGCTTAGAACAAAAACCTCTGTATCAGACAAGCTGTATGAGCCATCAGAGAAGAGATGACCACTTGTCCTGGTTTCAGCTGCGATAGAGTTAATTGTCTTACTAGCAGCTGGTACAGTGCTGTGTTTTGGATTTAGGGTGAGATTAATGTTGATAACACACTGATGTTTTAGTTGTTGATAAGCAGTCAGGGTCTTTTCAGCTTCTCGTACTGCCCTGCCAATAAGAAGGCAGGGGCACCCAAGAAGCTGGGAGGGGACACAGCCAGGACAGCTGACCCAAACTGGCCAAAGGGATATTCCATACCATATGACATCATGCTTAGCATATACCTGGGGGAGTTGGCCGGGAGGTGGCGCAGCTCGAACTAGCTGAGCATTGGCTCTGGGTGGTGAGCAATTGTGTTGTGCATCACTTGTTTTGTATATTCTTATTATTCTTATATTATTCTTATTACTACTACTATTATTATTCTCTTCTTTTTCTGTCCTATTAAACTGTCTGTATCTCAACCCATGAGTTTTACCTTTTTCTTTTCAATTCTCTCCCTCATCCCGCTGCAGGGGCGGGGAGTGAGCAACGTCTGTGTTTTAGCTGCCTGCCAGGTTAAACCATGACACCTCTCTAACTGTTCTTATGATGCTGTCTCTAATCCTTTCCTCTACCTATTAAATTAAATTGAAAGGGACTGACAGGAATATTATTCTTCTAATAAAATACACTTTTCTGTTAATGCAACTGCTGCCAGGAAGTTAGGCACTTGCAAATAGAAGGGAGTCATTCATTTTGAGTGGAAGACAAGAAATCTCTGAAAAATTATCTTCTGACACAAGTCTGAAGTTCCTTATGTTTCCTTACACAGTAAAAAAATGGATTTCATATATTTACATTGTTTGCACTATATGCCTCCAAAACCCCTGACAAAGACTACAGTCCAGAGGACATCAAATCTTAATACAGAACTCTGAAGAATTTGATTCCAGTTGCTTTAATCCTGAAAGCACTACTTGAATTTTACTCACATTGCACTTCCTCCCCCTGCCCCAGGGCAAAGATATACTTGAACGCTCACAAACCTGAGAGGCTGTACATAGAGGTATTTCTTACCTTATTTTTTCTGAAGATACAGAGCAATGCTTTATTATGAATGGTGATTTATCAAAAGCTAGTATTGTAAATTGATGGTGTGTTTCATTAGATTAGTTATCAACATGTCAATAGGTGCCATCAGCTTACAGAAAGTATAGCAGCAATTACGTGTAGCTTGATCATCTCCAATCATGAATATCAGAAATAATATTTTGACTTGCCAGAAAAAGGAGACCTCTGTTTTCACAATTGGCATGTGCAAGCATTATCAGTTGGACATCTACAAAACCATATTACAACTGTGGAAGCCACTCTTAATAGGTTTGGCAACATTGTAAGACATCCCACTTCCTGAATATACTACTGCGTCAGTGTCCAGCACTTCTATGTTCTTATGGCATTCCATGGCGTACTGCACTAGCAGGTTTATTGCAGAGCGTGTGATTTGGCCAAAGACTCAATTAAACGTCTAATGTGAATCCATTAGGAACTATCTTTTTTGTCCCAGTCAGTGTCCTGCACTGTTATGTCAGGATGCAGTAGTGAATCCTGGTCTCTTGATTCCGACAGCAGCACAATCCTGACTGCTGTAAATATGGCTTACTTGGGTTTTGCCATAGCGTCTCCCCAGCTCTTTCCAAGCTAACTTACAAGGGGCGTGTCGTTGCTCTGTGCTCACAAGAGTGGCAATTTATGAGACTCTGCTAATGCAGTGGGTTGTAGTGGTTTTAAACAAAAGAAAGGACGCATTTCAGGAGTGGAAGAAGAGACTCAGCAGCAGCTCCTGGAAAGATTAATTAATAAAAGCTTTGCCTTAAAACCAGTAGGCATGTGAATCACCAGCAAATTGTCACTATACACACAGCCACTCTGTAACTGCAGTCATCATGGAAAGACAGATCTACTAAAGCACTGTCCAGACTCTATCCTTCTTTTGGAAAAATCTTACCCACAGCTCTTAGTTTTAAATAAGAGTTTGTTTTGGACTTCCAACTTCAATGTGACATTTTAGTTTTGGTCTACACTCATGCAAAGTTTTTATTTCCTTTTCTGTGGTTTCGACGAACAATAAGAGCAAAATTAAATTAAAGACTCTTGCAGGCTCTGACATGTCAAAGAGTCAAACAAGGTCCTCTAATGATTAGCAGCTTGCTGCTGGGCATCATTACTATATCTGCTGGGTTAGTGGTTAATCAACTTCCGTTTGTCGTTTGCTTTTTCTACAGCTTCGGGCTATTTCTATCCATAACATCCATTTAACAACCTAACTTAGCAATACATAATTTAAAATCCAAGGGTTTCAAGGAATTTCAGGAAATGCTGTAATTTAATGGAGATTAATGCAGGGACTGAATGAACCTTACAAACTGGCTATGGAGAAAAAAGTAATTATTTTAGTCTCACCCAGACCAGGTTTAAGAATTATACACACTATTACCAGAATTGTATTGATAAGCTGTATATTGCTAGTTTCTGTGTGTTTGCTGTTGGTAGTTTATAAAAGTGCTGAGAGAAAAGTTCCCTGGACAGAGCCCCACGCCCATGGCACCAGGTCTGGATGCAGGCCTCCAAAATGCTTCAGCCACCATTCCAGCTCTGCATGGCTTGGCTCTGCTCTGCACGGCTCTGCGCAGACCTGAGATCACTATGCTCTTCATGGCACTGTTTAGGATTGCACCTTCTTGTTTAAGGTTACGGGTGGTTCATACCAACTCAGCAGAAGAAATCCCTTGCAACTGAAATAGAGTTAGGGAAGCAGAAAATAATGGATCCCAGCAGCTGACTGGGTTCACCACCTGGCTGAGTACTGCTCAGAGGGGACAGAGAATACTGTGTCATTTAATTCGCTTCTAAATAAGCAGCTCTATCATGTGCTCTCTATTTTCTCAACCACTTTGAAAAGATAAAATATTTGTCTGTTTTATTCGGTTTGGTGGAAGGATTCCCCTACAAGCTTGACACGACCAGGGGTAAACTCTAGTCCCAGAAGCTGATGGAAGTTTTGGCTCTGAATTTATTGAAGTCAGGATTTAGTCCTTGCTTAGAGGTTTTTTTCTCTTTGTAACATCCACTGGAGAGGGGAAAAAGAATCATCTTCTGTTTACTCTGAAAGAGTAAAATTCAGGCCAATTGCAGTTGTAAATATACCTATATCTGACGATTTATATTCAAAATAGCTCTTTTTCCCATTCCAGGTCCTGTGTACAAAACCAATCTGTATCATATTCTTATTTCAGTTACAAAATGGAAGATTGTCTAATTAAAATAACAGCTAAAAGACTGCAAGCCAAGGACCAGCTGAACCTAATAAATTGATTAATAAGAAAAGCAGAACTCTGTAAAAAGGTCTGACTATGCTTCAACAAGCTTCAGGTATGCACTTGGGCAAAACAACCAAGTTTCCATTCAACAAGTGTCAGATAAAGTGTAACAAAGGTGGAAACGGGGGGGGGGGGCAGAAATTACATCGTTTAAACCCCCAGTTTAACTCGCTTCAGTCTCCATTCAGTGCAGATTAATGTATAAGGATCAGACACAAACCCTTTCCCCTGGTAAGCTCAAATCAAAGAGAGTATCTGCTTAATGAAAGGTGGTGATTCACACTACAGATAAATGTGGAAATAAATATAGGTTTTTAAATTTCTTGCATCTTCAGTTAAATATACAATTGTGGAAAAGATGGCCTGGAGCTTAATTTTTTCCACATCAGTAAAGCAGAGCTATGCTTTTTTAACATTAAAAAGTGATCAGCTGTTCAAGGATATGTAAAGGGTGTCCAAGGTATTTCCATTTTGTGCAGACTACATGATTGCTTCCAAGACTTAAAAAGCTTTTAAACATATAACACTCTTTTTTTTTTGTTTCCTGTAAACAAATAATAAAAAACACTTTCCAGGTATCAATGGAAGGTCTAAATGAAATCATCTGCATTTTTTCTGGAGGGCCAAAATTATCCATGGTGTAGTGTTACATCAGGAACTAAGTTAGCTCCTTATTTTAGATGACTTTAGTCAATATGGAATATAAAACAGTGGCAGGACTTGGAGATATTTCAAGGAACCCTCTTAAGTTTTGGTTCACGCTCCAGTTCAACATTTAGGAAGAGAAAGATCTCCTGACTCTCCTCCTTCATCATGAGCAGGAGGATATGGAGAAGGAAAAGCTATGACAAAGACATCATTCAAATTGTTCCAGACTTGCGTGTGTGGTACATGCACACTGCATGTACAGTTCTAACAGTGATAAATGTATTGGACGTGTTCAATACGTGTTAACAAGAAGTCATGAAGTGAAAGTGCTACATCACAGACTACCTGCTTACCTTATAGAATATCAGCAAAAGATCATCCAGGTTTCCATGTAAATCTCCTACAGGAAACATGATTTGCTTTTTTAAATTGATTTTCTCACAGAGGAGGAAAAAACTGGAATTATAAAACTGGAATTAGTTAGTCCTAACAAGTTTTTCCCCATGTTTTCCTTAGTAATTTGCCTTGTACTAGGATTAGCTTCATTTTAAGGTACATGCTGAAGCTGCTTGTAAAATCTGGCAACTAAATATTTAAAACAGCATATAATTGTCTTGCATAAAGTTTTTGTCTGTCCAGCTGGATCTGAAGATCAGACCAGTCACAGAGCCAAAGGTTCACTCAGGGAAATGGGAGTAAGATGAACAAACATATTATGGACCTGAAAACCAGAAAATGTCACTAAAAGACATTTAGAAATATGATAGACTTCTACATACTAACAGGTTTAAGTTTACTAAGTGGCCCACTATATACAGCATAATTGAACATCTGTCTGATTCAGGGCCAGGTTTTAATTAATACAGGCAGGATTTGATGGAGAGTGTCAAGAACTGTGCATGCTCGTATGTCTCAGTGCTAAGGCCACAGGAATGACAGATCTAGCCCTTTCTGAGAGGTTTATTTTGGAACAGGCAGGGGGAATTCACCCCAACACAAAGGATCACTGCAGAATAGCTCCCCTCTGCATATGACTGAATTTCATGCTCACAAAACCAACCTTCTCACATCTGTGACTCACCACCACAAAGCCACAGAATGGTTTCAAACCCTATCTTGCGATAATACACTTTCACCACCAATGAGTAGGAAAAGTGACATTTTTACCCTGTCTACACGTTTTCTGTACAACTTTTTATTAACTATGAGCCTGCTGAAGTCATTCTAAGGAGTCCTTCAAGCAAGGATAGATTTTCATCATGTATGTGGATGCAAACACTTCAGCTGCATATTTAATCTGCATTATTAATTTGAAATTAAAAGAAAATGTGGAGAGGGATACCTTAAGAAAATCAACATTTTGGACCAATTATGTCTAAAAATTGGTCTTTCATCTTCTGCAGAGGATCCTTCCGGTTACAAAAGCTATTAGTTTCAATGGTAGGAAAGGGTACCCTTTAGCCGTTGCTTACATAGTGCAAATGCCATACAAACATGAGGAGGTACGTTTTGCTTAGTAAGAGCATGATGTGTAGTGAACAAGCATGAGTCTCTGTTTCCTTGGTTTGGAGAGAGGTTTTGTTGGTTTGGTTAACAAATTATTGTTTATACAAAACCTCATTTAAAAAAACCCCTTCCTGGCAATCAAAGTAGGTGCATAACCACATATTAAAAAACATTATTCGTTTTGCATGTGTCATAGTACCCTTCCTTATACCACTCAGCTATTACACACAGCACACACTACTAGCTGTCAAGAGTTAATGCCACCATAACTGTTCTGTTTTGCAGCTACTGCGTTCTGTGGCAAGTCGGGATACTGCATCCCTTTATCCATAATTTACAAAAGCATAACAAAATAGACAGGCAATGAGCTCTCAGTTCTTCACCTTGTGACACATCACATCATTCTGCGAGACTAATTTGTTGGTTGTATAAAGACTGATACATCCTCTTGGGTCCTTTTAGAAATGAGGGTTTATTATAATTTATTCTAGATAGTCATGCTGTCAATGAAAGGTCTTGTTTGCCACCTCTATTAAGCCCTCATTAAAATCATTACTGAGTAAATTGTGGTGGTAAAGTCTCTTTCTCAGTAAGAGGAGAAAGCAGTGAGACTTGCAGCCAGTGATCAAAACGCTTGGTGGCATTTTAGAGATGGAAGTGCAGGAATATTTAAGCTACACTGCAGTGTTAGCTGAATTAATACTGACTCATTCAGAAATGTTTAATGAGAAAAGAAAAGAGGAGGTGAGGGACTTTCTTAAAATATACTTAATGTGACTCAGGAACCTTATTTTTTGTTTGTTTGTTCCAATTTATACATTTGTTAGAGGGGAAAAAAAAAAAAGCAAAAAAAAAAGCATCAAGAACTTTCTTGTTATGGCAACATTTGGAAATGTCTGTTTCATTCTCTAACCACTTAGAATATCAAAGTAGTCCAAAGTGGTTATCTTCTCTGGCACCTTACCACAGACAGTTATCTCCTTGGAGTAGGAAGTTGAAAGATGGGTGATATTTGGCATCTCTTTGAGAACCTTCCTAGTTTCAGATAGTAGCTGCAGTACATAGCGGGCATGAAGCAGCTGTGAGAACAAAATGCAGGGAGAAAAGGAAGAGTTATTAGAAGTAGCAATATGTCTGTCTGCTTTATTAATAATCAGACATGTATTGCCAAGTTTATTTATATCACAGACCTCCAGACATGATTACAGGCTGTATGGTTTAGTGCTGGGAATTAGGAGTGTTCATAGCTTTGCACTTCCCTCCCAGTGAATAGATATAGAGCCCTTAATGAACTTGCTTTACATATTTTCCCATTTTATTTCTAGAGTACTGTTTCTACTCTTCCCGTCTTCAGAAAGGATAAGAGACTGAGTTATATAGCACTCAGAATCATTGCATAAGGTCATCTGTTCAAAGTAAATGGGAAAAAAAAGGATGTAGTTCTAGCTGTGAGTAAAAAAAAAAAAAAGCACAGACCAACCAAAAAAACCCTGAAGGCCATAAATGATATTTCAGCAAATTGCAAAAGTAATGAGTGGGAAACTCCAGCAACAGTTGCCTTGTTAAGAGTTATCTTCCTGTTCATTGTGAAGATGTTATGACAATGCAACACTGAAGCTTCTGGTCTTCTCTGGTAATGCTTTTTATGAAAATTTTGTCAGTTGGTGATTTTTAAGGCTTTTAATTCAAACACAGCTCTGAGGAAGTTTGGTAGAGGAGACAGATGAGCTACTGACGGACTTTTCAAGATTCATGTTTTTAAAGCAAACAAAAAAGGCCAATTACATATAATGATTTCCTTAATAAAACACCAACCATAGTAAGAGAAGAGAGAACCGACAGTAAGGTGAAGTCTGGGTGAGTTCATTTATCATGCGCTATTTTGCTACTTTTAAGATCAGCTTCCACAGAAAATTACAGAAAAAACCCCCAACATTACTTAGTAAACTAAAAAGCAAGACAGACCCTTATCCTTTATATACCATTAAGTACAAATGACCACAAGTTCAAACAAAGCTGTGCCATATAATGCCTCCCTGTCCCACCCTCATCTCATAGGAGGGCAGCAAAGGGGCTTGCTCAGGAACATAGAGAATCAGCAACAGCCTTCTCAGTGCCTTGGCAGCCACAGACAGCAAGCTCCTGGGATTTGTGCTGTCACTCTGTTCCGCTACATTAGTGATGCTTTATATTCACTCTTCTATTATGGTGGAGTTTTGCATGCTGGAATGAGGTGATTAACCCTTACACCTCAATTCCTCTAAAAAGAATGGGTTGGGGGACAGAAAAAGAGGACCACAGAAGGAGCACTTTTAACCCAGAAAAAAATGATAACTAGTTTCTAGGTAAGCTTAGGACACCTTCCCCAGTCCTACACCCTCACTGATAAACCCTGCCTTGCAGCTGCTAAGGGTTCCCATTTCATGACCACTGTAATCTCAGTGTAATCTCAATGCTAGAAGAGGAGGTCCCCACTAGTCCCTGCCCTCTCCCCAGTGCTGGCTCTGATGGTCATGCAGCCAAGTAGTGAATCAAATCTGGGAACTGGTCTGGCTGACAACTGACTGCTTTTGACTTTGTTGTGTTAGCTTCCAGCCAGATTGGTTTCCCAGGACAGCTCACCATTCTTACCTGTATGATCATATGGGACTAGCAGGAAAGGGTAATGGGATAGAAAGGAAGGGACTGGGCACCAGTTTAGCCTTACATTGGATTCAACTGATTGTGGAGCTACAACTTGACAGAGATGTAAAATAAGTAAAAAGAAATCAAACTAGTTGCAACTTACCTGTTCATTCCTGAAAGCATGAAGGAGAGCATTGGCATCTTCAACAGTAAGGGGGAATGAGAGTCGTGGTCCATAATAGGAGTCTGGAACATCGATCTTCTTTTCAAATTCTGTTAAATATAAGCCTTCATCCACCACCTGAGAAACACTAGGGCCAGTGAAAATGTGAGAAACTGGAACAAGAGGGAAGGAAAAAAAACAATGTAGAAACTCCACCAGTCCCCCATAAAGCCGTAACAGCATGACCAGAACTGGTGCTTTACTTGCTGCAGTATTACAGTGGCTAACTCCTGCCTTGTATAGTGGAATTGCTGCTGATCTCCCAGAAAAGCCTAAACCAAACAAATAAACCCATAAAACAAGCAAAAAACAACCAAATGAAAAAATAGGCAAAACCTCTGTCCCAACAGCCAGTAGCTGTGTCAGGGTGCAAAACATTTTGCACTGAAGTTGTGGAGCAATCTTCTCTCATGAGAAACGTAACCTGTTACAGACTTTCTTCTTCCTCCACAGAGCAAGGACATTCAAAAGTCATGACTGATCATTCAATGACCATCATGTATTTAAAGTTCAATATTACAGGTTTAATACAGGTTTTAAAGATTCACTTTTATTGCTTTTATTTTCTATGTAAAATATTTAGGCTAAATACCAGCAGGTCAGTGATTATTTAAAAAGTCATCAACAAAATCCTATTTATTCACAGTGGACTGCAAAGCACTCCTTTCTGATACAACTAGGAGACAATGCCAGCTTTTGGTTGGCTGCCATAAAACCATTGGATGAAATAAAGAAAAACATAGCGGTAAAAGTAGGGCATAGCTTCTAATTTTCCTGGAACATGGAGAAAGCAGGAACATTGTTAATTGCTTCAATCCAATATTTTCTTGACATACTGTTGAAACGTAACTGAGTGAACAGCACATTTCAGTGTTTTCTTCTTGCAGATTGTCTTTATCATATATTATTCTAAAAGAGCAAACTAGACCCTAGAGGACAGTATTCGGGCAGCTGCTGTTGCAGAGTTGCTCTTGTGAGACGATCGTTGTAAACACTTGTCACTGGGCTTCAGGTAAGTTTTCCGTAATCTTGATTAGATGCAACTGGAAATAAAAATGTATTATTTATTGCTGGAGGAATACCTGTGACTATGACTCAAAACACAGCAGCCACAACCAGCATGTGGCCTTATAAATGGTGAGATTCATAAAGGCCAACTTGTCTTGTAACTGGATAAAATCCATACTAAAGAAATAAATAGATAAAAATATACTTTTTTCCAGCTCTGGATTTAAAAAAATGGGGTTTTATCAGCTCTTCTGCTGTGAGCTGATTAGCACATTCAGTGTACAGCCATGTAAATGGATTAAGGCATCAAGTAACAGCAAGGTGTTCAGGGTGCGTTGTTTCCACCAAGTACAGCCTGATTTGCAGTCTTCCACCACAGTTACAGCTGTGTCTGGCTGCATGCCAGAACATCACCCATAGACTGACACTGCTGGTTCCCACATACTGATCAGCCAAGCACATCTGCACCCAGTCTTGTCCCAGCTCTAGCGACAAGTCCCTGGACAGTATCTCCCTCTGTGCCCTACCTCTCAGAAAATGGGTGGCTGCAGACCTACAAAGCCAGTTCCTCAGACCACCCCAATTCCTCACTGCTTGCTTGTTCTGGCCAGAGGCTTTTCTCATCTGACACGACTCCTTCAGAGTCAGTGGTCTTCTCAGCATCTCAAGCCAGACAGACACCTGCCCATGTCTGCTCCTACTCTGACCCTCCCTTCCTGCACGCAGCAGGCTACCCATCCTTTTACCTCTGAACGTAAACCTGCCTACCTCGCAGCCTTGCCTCCTTTTTTGGCGTATGCCCAGGCTGGGAAATCCAATCTCCTTCCCTGTAGGGCATATCTCTGCAAAGTACACCCCATTTTCCACTTCTGGATGAGTTGTCAAAAGCCAGTCATGGTCATTAGCCTTAGAGTACACTTACATTTCCTCACGCACTCTTTCAGCTGGTTTTTAAGGCTCCTTCCTGCAGAGGATGACTGTCTCATCTCAGAGCAGTCAGTAATGGATGCCCTAATGCAGCCTGGAGATTAATGCACTGGCCGACAAGTATCCCAGCTCACCACAAGTCCAATGCAGGACTCATTCTGAAGGATTCAGCACTCCTCATTTTAGTCATGGAATCATAGAATCACTTAGGTTGGAAAAGACCTCTAAGACCATCGAGTCCAACCATTAACCCAGCACTGCCAAGTCCACCACTAAACCATGTCCCTAAAGCACCACCACATCTACACATCTTGTAAATACCTCCAGGGATGGTGACTCAACCACTTCCCTGGGCAGCTTGTTCTAATAATTGAGAACCCTTTTGGTGAAGAAATTTTTCCTAACATCCAATCTAAACTTCCCCTGGCACAACGTCAGGCCATTTCCTCTTGTCCTATCACTTGTTACAACCTCTTTTCAGGTAGCTGTAGAGGGCGATAAGGTCTCCTCTCAGCCTCCTTTTCTTCAGGCTAAACAACCCCAGTTCCCTCAGCTGTTCTTCATAAGACTTGTGGTCTAGACCATTCACCAGCTTCGTCTTCTAGTTGAAGGTGTCAAGGCTCTTTCAGTTCATACTGAAAGACAGGGATGAAAACTCTTGACATGCCTAGTTCAGGCACCCGTCTTAAGATAGAATGAAATACCCTCTGCCAGTATCTGCATCTCTCCACCGACTACAGAGAGCACAGGGAATGACCTGCTTTGTATTCCGACACCAGAAGTCTAGCCCAAGCTCAGTGAGTTGAGCCTTCACTATTAGCAGACCCCATACAACTATCCTACAGGATAATAGCCATATTCCATGTTAAATACAAAAAAACAGAGCTATGTTGAGTCAGTATGGCCACAGAAAGCCCAGGGACCTGGTTCTCCTGACACCTCAACATGGGAGTTGTTCAAGGTAAGTCAAAGACGCCACTGCCAAGGATGTACTCACTATCAGGGTAACAAGGAATCAGCTACTTCTGGAGCTCTGAATTAAGCTCTCTGTTCGGCCACCATCTGTGCACCTTCAGACTAACCACTGGCGTACCTGAGAGAACCTCTGGCTCCTGAGAAGAGCTCTTACCTCTGCCAGATACTGATCCCCAGCCATCAGGTCAAAGTCAGATGGACCCTAAGCCCACTAAGAGGATGAAGATTTCTGTAATGCTTCAAACATTTACTCCTTTACTCTGTTCCTGGCGCTGTAAACTGCAAGCAGCTGTGACTTCTTCCCCGCTGCAAGAATCAGTCTATGCAAAAAGCCTTGAAAGGGTGTTACTGCTGTAAGGGAGGCATCATGGGGGGTGAAATTGCAGAAAACAGCACTTTTTTTGTTCCCTTTTGAAGGAAGGCTCCAGGAGGTGTGGCTCCTGCCCCAGTGACCTTGAGAGGCACAGCCAGAAGTGCCTTGGCCTCTCTGTCCCACCATTTTGCCCAGGACAGGTTTGCAGCCTTCTCACCCTCAATGCATCCACACAAGACTGAGTAAATGGGTCACCTTTTGCTGGAAAAGCAGTTTCCAGCTTTGTCTGACCAAGGATCTTTCCGTTGAAGGGAAAGATTTTTTGGGGGAGGGAGAAAAGTGTGATGTGGAAAAGGTTTTAATGCTTACTTTCCACAAACCCTTGGAAAATAGCCTTTAATCAGAAGCAGAACAAGACACACAGCTATATAATATACCAATCACAACTTAAACTGCACTGACATCTTAAGCAGGATGAGAGGATGAAAAAAGCTTCAGGGTACAACAGATAAACAATCACATCAAAAGCACTACTGTGTTAATGAGATGATGGCTGCTTTCCTTCTTTGAAAAACATATTCTGAAAAAGCAGATTAAAAAGAGAAAAGTGACAAGATGAATAGTGGAGACTGAGTGGTTTGTAATGTAAGGAAAAACACAGATCACAAAATCTTCAGGTAGCTTTCTCATCACATACTGAGAACAGGCAACCTATTCTCGGGTAAGAATATTATATACTACTTTCTCGGAAAAGGCTTTTGAACCATATGCTATCAATCTAATTTAAGTGAGCACACACTGACAAAAAAAAAGCCAGAGAATTGTGGGGTTTAGAAAATGTTTGGGAATAGCAAAGCCAATTTGAAGCCGCTCTGCTTGTTATGTTTACACTCACCATGGCTCACATCTTAAGACCATGATTCAGCAGAAGTGGAAACAGTTCATTAAGAATCACTCTATTCAGCACTGATTTTGCTTAAATCAGTGGGGCTATCATAGGTGCTGCAAAGGTCACTTAGAGGGCCAAGCAATCAAGAGCCTGAAGTAAAGAATGCACATAGCCAGTCATTGGACAAACATAACCACAAACCACACAACACAAATTTGATATGCAATTTCTCAAAAAAATCCCTAAGTCAGCTCCTTTGCATCGGTGGCCTTGGCTGCCTCTCGATTAAACACGTACCTTACAGAATCTTTCTGTTTCGTTTTGGGTTCCGGTATCTGTACCACGGGGTGTTAGAAAGAGGGAAATAACCATGAAAATTTTAAGCCAGCAAGACAAAGGGGAGCTTTACCATAAACTTTATAATGTTTCAGCCTGAACCACATCTACAACTCCCACTATCTGCAAGACCAAGAAACAGGTCACCCACGGGCAGCCCACAGTACCCTCCATCCCTCCCTGTGCACAGGTGGGGCCTGGATTTCCACCTGCCCACAAACAGCCTATCCATGTGGTAGTGTGCTCTGTACCAGCCATGTCCTGAGCCCTAGCAAGTCACCTGAGGCACCTCATCTTTGTTCCTTCTGTCAATAGATACAGTTAATAAAGGTGGAAAAATCATATCTACAATGAGCAGCTGTAAAATTCCCTTTTAATACTATAGTGAAAATACAGATTAACACTATTTTTGCCAAATCTCAGACCTAGCACTACTATTTTCTTTCCCACTCAGGTGGAAAAGATGAACTGAGGTGCACTGTCAGCATGTAGAAGAAGTAGATGAAGTGAGTAGTGTCTGATTTTCTTTAAGTTTGCCAATTCCATCCCAGGAAGTTAAATTACTAAAGCAGACTTTTTTGCAGAATACAGTAGTAATGGCAAAAATCAAAGGAAGGACTATTGTATCATTTGCCTTGGCTTTGGAGCAAGGCTCAAATATAATTTCTTTTTCTGCAGAGCACAGAGAGCATTAGGCACTCTAAAGTATTTAAGAGAGAAAAATTGCCATTTCTAATGGTTGACATTAGAACACTGAACCACTTACAGTTTCGATGGTGGTTTTATCCTGATATCAAAGTGTCTTGTGCAAATTTTAATTGTAATAACCTGTGGCTGGACCAGATGAAAGAGAAAGGACATTCTCTTGTAATTCAATATGAAAGGGACAGCCTCCTTTTTAACTCCACTGGGATTACATCTATTCTCAATTTGTTCAAGGAAGTCACGTTTGTTTTCTGGACTTAGGAAGTCACTTTCAGTCTGTCCTTCTGTTGAGCTTGACCTCAAAAGTAAATTTTGTCCAAGGATCCCAAAATACTTCTAAAATTAAAGGTTATTTTTTGAATAACTGAGCTTTAATTGAGATGGTTTCTAAAGATTTATCTCCAGCAGTTTAAATTTATTTCATTTTTAATCATTCACAGACCGATACATGTTTTGCAGCGAAATCTACAACAAATTAAATTAAAAAGTGGTCCAGAACTACTTCAGGGAAAAAAGAAAAAGAAGAAAAGCAACTTCTTTGATGGCAAACTCTTTGATTACACCTGCCCTAAACCAACTAGACACATTCTTTCTGGATAATCACATCTCATAGTTTAAGAAAACATGCATAGAAAGCTGTGAAAATCAGAGTCAGTCAGACTACCACGAGAACAGCTTAAGGGCAGTAACATACAAGAAAGTACTCTGAGCACCTCTGAGTATTCTCATAAGGACAACAGGTATCTGCCCTGTCTTACATCCTGACTCCCTGAGTAGATATTGAGCAGAGTCAACACTTACAGGATCAAATTCTTATTACAGTATTTGGGAAACCAAACCTAAGTTCCAGCATGTGCCACAGCCTGTAAATATCACGTTAAAAATTACCTTTCCTCACATCAGGTTTTTCAAACGGAATCTCCACTTTACTTTGATTTTTATCCTTACCTGAATCAGGATGAGTACAGTGATCCAGCATGAATGTAAAAAAGTTGGATAGCTGATAGGGAAAAGAACAAACATGCACTGATCAGTTTAGGGTATCCAACAAGCACTAACATTCTCTTTCCTTACTCAGTTACTAGCAATTTCATATTTGGGGAGATCTAAGACACTACTGTTTGTTCCCCTAGCATCAACCTGCAATAATGACACAACGTGTGTCATACTACAAAAAATGGCTTACTCCTTTTCTTCTTTGCTATGAATTTGTATGTATTCATATAGTGTCAATCTGCTAAATTCCAGGGCTGTATCAATGCTGCTGACATTTTTGGGTGTAATTCATCTTGCCTATCATCCAGTCTATTTGCCTAGACTTCCTTTGTAGTCCAAAGGAAGAAACTGCTACAATCAAAGTCCAAAGGAAGAAACTGTAGAAACTGCTACAATGCACCCAACTGACTTTAGACACTGATGCTAGGATGAACAAAAAGCCCTAGAAGTTCTTAATTCCCTGTACTGACCCTAAAGGAAGCCTGGGCTAACATGCTGAGACACTGGTATCTCTGTGGCACATAGTTTGCCTCACACACACACACAGAGACACACCCCACACCACACCCCCACACCCTCCCTTAAAATAGTTCCTGTGTGAGGTAGGGAAGTGGTTTTATTATACCAGACACAGCTTTGTAGGCAGAAATAACCATATACCCATTTAGTTTGTGCAACTTCAGTCCTCTGGGGATAACTTAACTGCTTGTACAGGAAAAACTGAAGATTACAAACCTGTAGTTGATCTTGCTCATCAGCATATTCGATTGACTGAAAGATACTCAGAGAATAGCGGCGTCTCATCTCCAGTCGGGCCATTGTAAAGCGGTACCAATTCTGGATGAGGATAGCAGCTCTAATGACTGTCAAAATAGAAAGCAATGGAGCACACGTGGATGCAGTGTGATCTACAATGAAAACACACACGCTACCTTTGCAGAATTTTGCAGACAGATGACAAATTCAGTCCATTGTGCACAGCTGACATTAAGATTAAGCCCTGTAAAACTGAGATTTAAAAAGTGTTTTCTGATAATGAATACATGATGCATTTTCTGTTTCTGTCTTTGAGGACAGATCCCAAACTAGCTGACTTGCTCAGGCCTGTATTATTAGAAACATTCCCCATTTCGTTGTCCTGAAGACACTACCCATGTAAGAAGTTAGCCATGTTCAGCTGATGGGCAGTATGTGGGTTTTGGGAACGTAAGGAAAGGAAGAACAGTTTGACCTAACAACAAAATGTATTTCTTTATCCAGCTGCAGTAAAAAGCTTCAGGTTGCAATTTGTAACATGCACATTGTGTAATGATAGAATTTGTAAGAGCCTCTCTTAACAGAAAGGTTTTGCCTGCACAGCTGTACCAGCAAGCCAGCAAAATTCAAACCTTAGGATAAAATGTTAACAAACGGTATTAAAGGGCTGAATAGATGTTTAAATAGTTGCTTAAATAGACATGCCAAAAGGCACACAGCTGTATCTTTGGCTAGCTTGGTGAACAAAGGAACACTCAACCCAAGAATTCAATGGGACATGTCAGAAGACCATTTTTGACTATGTGCACAATACACAACTCAGCACTTTAAGAAGTTCTGTCTACTATTGTTCCAGTCTGGAAAACTGCTGGAAACTTCACTGAAGGACAGTTGCCAAGACTGCAGCCTGGGGTAAAGGGCCGGCTGCCTACAGGCCCCAGTCACACCACAAACAGATCACATTCCCTTAGCTGCTCAGATAAAAGTTTATCAAGCAGAACAACATCTGATGGCACAAAGAGGTCCTTGGGTGGGCGCTGCCCTGTGGGGAGAGCTCCTGACACCTCTGTCAAGCAATTAGCACTGCGTGAACAGTGGCCACCAGCAAGAACTGTGCAGGACGACAGGAGCTCCAGGAGCTGATGCCCACCTGATCCCTCCCCACCATGTTGCCAATCCCCCCTGCTACTCCTGATACCCAAAGGGCAGCAGCTCTTAGGAGCCAGGGCATGGAACATGGGTGGCAGTACCACTGGGAGCCAGGGCGTGGAACATGGGTGGCAGTAATGCTGCCAGCAGGAAGACAAGAGGAAAGGCGGGCACGCATGCCCTCAGCATTACAGGTGATCACTGCAGCTCCAACAGACCTGGAGGGAGGAGTGAGAGCAGAAGGCTGGAGGGACTGTGCTCAGCCTGAAAAAACCATGAGCTTGGGAGAGGAGGAGCAGTAACTTCTGCTGTTGCACAGAGCTGTGACTCTCTAGTGCTTTAAGGATGCTTATCCAGTAAGATCAACTAACTTTGAGAAAAACACTCCTCGGTCACCTGTCAACTTTTTTTTTTTTTAAGATCAGCTAGAGAGGAATAAATGCATGTTTCATATACTTATCATCCAGAGGAGCACACCATTTACTATACAAAAATCAGAACAAAATGCAGCTACTGCCTTGAATATCTAGCAGCTGAAATAATGGCAAATTCAAATCTAGCCATTCGCTCAAATTATGGTCAGAAGGGGACTCTGTATTAACATGCTTAGCCCTACAGAGCACTAACGGGGTAGTCAAGAGGTATTACATGCATCACTGCATAACAATGAGAGGAAGACAGGGTTATTGGATCCTGCACCTGTCCCAGTGCAACCACATCAGCACCACCATATACTTGCGTGGTAACAAAAAATGAGAGTAAGGTAGATGGCAGCTCTCGAGAGATGTCACATTTACTCACTTAAGGTTGAACATAATTCTTTCTTGACTGGTTGCTTAGCTCTTTCCCCCTACCTCTTTTTCCCAGTACTCTCACCAGGATGCCAGTAAATAAGTAGACAGGGCCAGAAATGTCAAGCCTTTGCCTCCAGCCCTGCAGCTAACACCTCACTTCAAGGAGTTTCCTAAGGAACTCAACTCTGAATAGCTCAGCATAGGACACAGATAAAAAAGTCTTTATGCTTCTGATCTTGGGAGCACCAAGTCAAAGCAGCTGCAGGGCAACTCTGTCGAAGGTACGAGGACCAAAGGAATACACTAATCTTATTTCCTGATACTCCCAAGAGCTCTTTTCTGAGATGAACATTTGATCAGAAGCATGGAAACAAAACTGAGACATTATCCTGAATTCCACAGTTTGACACAATCACCACTGCACAGCACTGCAAATTCATGAAAAAAAGAGGAAACTAAAACCTACACTGAAGTCTTATCATGAATATGCTTATATTTTATTACAGTTGCCAAAAGGAACAGTTGGTACAGAAAAAGAAAACAAGAAATAACAACCAACAATCCATACTAATGCTTTTATTTCCCCCTGCGAAACAGCAAAGAAAAGCTCTGTACTAGAGGGACAACTGTTTAGACTAGTCAATTATTTTAGCTGATCACAAATACCAGGGATTTTGAGACTGGGATAAGTGGCACCCCCTGAGTGAGAATGATTTTTTTCTTAAACTGAGAGTTATGCAGGTAAAGAAAAATGTCCACAGAAAAGTGAGTCTATTAATAAATGCATAACATCATGGAAGCTTTTTAATAAAAATACTTAAAGGTGTCATAATAGCATGTTTTTTGCTTATTTTACCATTAATAAGTATACAGCATAGTTAAAGTGGTAGTTTTCTAGCCCAGACAAGGCCAAAATCAGGAAAGACTCCCATCCTACAGATATTGCATCTGTCCTACAAAAATCCTCCTGCCTGAAGGAAATGTAATCCTTATATGACAAAGAGCACCCTTCATACCCTACACCAACACTGAGATCTCTCTTATTTTCTGTCCTTTCTGGAATTTCCCACCACCACAGACCTGAAAGCCTGACACATCACAGCAAGGCTGTCATCAACCTTTCTGTTTAGAAGAGTACCTAAGGGGGAAAGCACAGCCACCAGCACAGAAAGTGTTTTCCAGCATCAGAACCATTAAACTTCCCATTAAAGTCCCCCTGGGTTGCTTAATAGTCCTGAGCACTTAACACGGCACAGTTCCACTGGTATCACATAATGCAGATATATATCAACCACTATAGTTAATGTTGCAAATCTAACAGAGTATTTCCTGTAATTTTTTTTAATTGTACTTATTACAGTGCTGTTATTCTCAGGACTGAATCAGAACATGATTTTCACACTAGGCTAAACTGCATCTGTAAAAGAAATTGTTATCAGTTACAGAAGGTCTCTACACCAGCAAGTACCTGCTAAATTCATATTATTAATGCATTAGAGAGATGTACAGCCTCAGGCTGCAGATAGAATGATGGTTCAGCATCATTTCACTACCGCTGAAGCGCAGAAAGACTACCATCCAGCAACTGAAGAGGACAAAACATTGTCAAACAAGCACACAAAATTGTAAGCCAGCTTTGGGGTAGCAAAGCCTGGCTCCACACCAATGTGTATTGATGGTTGCAGACTGAGAAGGAGTACAGCTCCTCATGCCTACTCCAAGCTTCTGCACCCTCAGAAATATTCCCAACTCGCTCATCTGTGAGGCCTTGCAAGGCACATATATGCATAGCATGCAAATCCAAAGAGGAAGGACCACTTCCCAGTTACAGGTAGGTCTGGGACTCCAGATGTTTCCATTCTACTTCCACTGCTGTGATACAGCACTGATGCTGCTGTGACTGCCAAGCAACGTACACAAAGCTGAGGGCTACCCTTAGACCAGTCAACCTGGATCTCTATAACCATGACTAAGTGCTTCTGCTTCTTAGTCACCAGTTTCCTGTGACTTGGCTTGGTAGCCAAAAAGATCCTTTTCAACCATGGCTGTTCAGCATAATAATCTCCTAAGACTATGCACAGGGCCATGTAACATGGCTCTGCAGACATGTAAATTGTACTTTAATGACAAACTTTGAAAGAGAAGACAAAGGGTCTGAACAAAGGTCTGAGCCAATCCTGGAACCCACCCGCCTGTGCAAAGCCTAGTGTGTTCATACCAGGGTGTGGCATTATTAAAAGCAGGGGGATGATGCAGTGTTTTTTTAATTGAACATTTAATCAGGTACTGCGGAGACTTTCAACTGACAGCCTCAGTGACTGTCAGGGAGAATTTCAAGCCAGGCACTTGGTATGACAGAAAATTGATTCTGAGAGTCATTGTAATAGCTTGTTTCATAATTGGGGTCACTCAGCAGCAGGGAAATTGGGACAGTTTGCCCAGGAACCCTGTGTTGTGAAAGGCCACAAAAGGTCCCCCTCGATACCTTACCCCATACGCTTTGCCAGTGACAGAGCGAGCGCAGACACACCTGAAATTTAGCTTCTGTCCCAGATGCTGCGAATCTTTTCCAACCCAATCTATAGATGTTAGAGGTGGTCTACAATTGCCTTCTGACCTCAGCCAGCATCAAAAAGCTAGTCTTTTAAAAAGATAATTAGAAAATATTTTTCTCTGAACAAGTATTTTGACAACAGGACTGGTGGAAAACATTACCTTGCAATCCTCTTCTGGTGTTACAGAGAGAACCACCACTGACTCTGAAGACAAAGGCAGTACTCACCTTTCTCTGACCTCCTGTCAGTTACAGAACTGCTGCACCCCATGGTTCCAATGATGCTGCCCATCAGTTTTAATTGGTGCTGATACAAAGCATGTTTCTCTCAGTTGTTAGAATTGCATACATTTCCTGTGCTGTTCCTTCAGCAATGAGGATTGTCCCCCTCGGGGTCCTGTGCTCTTCCTAGCACTCCTAACAGGGAGAAGACTGGGAGAGAGGGAGACGAAAAAACCAAAAAGGTGTTTGACAACACAGAATCTAAAGTACCTACAGCTCAAACAAATTACTGTACAGCATGTCCTACACAAACTGGACCTGATGAACCATGCTAGGTTTATTTTTCACATCTGATCACTTTCAGCTTGCATTCAAGACAGATAAACACAGTAATTAATACAGTTTACTTCTTACATGTTAGCTGAAAGTTAATGTGCACCAGTGATTTCTTAATCTGAAACATAGCTATTTAAAGCCTTACTACAAGGGACTACAGAGATATGTTACTCTTAATTCTTGTAATTTGAAAACTGGAACTGCAGAATTTTAAGGACTTTAAATTACATATGATACTACTGCTAAAAAACCCCCAAACCTCAGCCCTCCTAACACTATTGAACTGGTGTCCTACCACCCCATTTATGACTATTCCTGTCACCACCACCAAATTTACAAGGAGAGAGAGTGCCATAGCAAATTGCTTCATTATCAGATTCATTTAAATAAAAGATCCAGTTTTCTGTTGCATTTCTACTGAAACATTCCAAATAAAAAATTTGGCTTCATTAAATAAATGAACAAAGTACATTTTGCAGTGGGGTCTTCTGGGTTTTTCTCCTGGCACTTACTCATCTCTTTACTAACTGGTATCATTTGCTAATGCAATACACTTTCTAATCAACAAGTTCAAATGAATCCAATTCCCCTGAGATACGAAAAGGGTTAAGACAAGAAAGTCACTGATGCTCTTACAGAGACCAAACTTTGTTTTAGCTAAAGATTTCTTACATGATCACACTGATCCCTCTTTCCCCGTCTCCAGAGATACGTTTCACTCTAGCATGTCTGACATGTCTGAATTATTGCATTTGTTGTTTTGTTTCACTGGTATTAATTTTCTTTTAACTTGACTTTTAAAACAAAGAAGAAATTCATCAGCATAAAATGAATACTTAACTACTATTCTTTTCCTTTGGCTTTACTAGCAGAAGTAAAAATAACAGGAGGATGAGAGAGAGGAAAACATAAATGCCTAACTAGCTTATTTTGAATTTTAATAGTTAGAATACATTTATTGTTGTGGGACTATTTACAGCTTTTTATGTATTATATTACATTATATTACATTAATATCACACAACTGTTTGTAGTAGTGTGACTATTTTCAGGGTCCCACAACACAAGGGTATCCTACACTTGAGTTGGGTCTGCCACCTTCTAGTCAGTATTTCAGGAAAGTAGGATTTTAGGGTTTTTCCCCACAATGGACTGCTTTTCTTCCTTCTGAAGGAGCTATCATGAAATCCAAAGAAGTGCTGTTACATTAATTTTGAGCCAATCAATGGCTTTGACAGCATCAAATACAGCACTCATATTGCTAATAGCTCAAATTTGTCTTCTCTCCAAACAATTGTTGTTCTCCTGAATACTAGCTCCTCACTTGCCCTCTTAGAGGAATCTCAAGTCTTCATTAATCCATGTCAAACTAGTCAGCCATGACTTGAATTGTGATCTGAAGACTAGGCCCAAGAGCAAAACAGAGCTTACAATCTAATTCCTATTGCAGTGAGACTATCTTCATTAAAGGGCAGGTCAGTTTGTGCCCAGCAACTGGGCAACGGGAGCCCCAAACAGAACCATCATGCAACTCAGGACAGCACCCAAGCCATAGCAAACAATGGGCTGACCGAAGAAAGGGGGATCTGAATCACTATCGCACCCGACTTCAATGATTTAAGCTTTTCTCCCAGTCATCCCCAGTCTTCCCTCCACCTACGTCTAAATTCACAGACTTCTAGCACTTCCTTGAGCAAAGAAATAAAAAAGATAGAGACATAGGGACAGAAATTTTATGGTAATAGCAGTAAAGGAAGCCTGAAACATACACTCAAAGCTTGGAGGAAAACTTGCACAAATATATCCTATCATTAAATCTCCTAAAAAGTACAAATCAGGCCATCAAAGAGCTAGCCCAGGGGAATAATCACCCCCTTAAGTCCCAAATGCTTGCATCCTGAAGTGGACATAGTGAACATTCAACCTGCTATCCTATTTCCTGATGGCTTCTCAGGTGGCTACAGAGCAACCCTGGCCGCCAACCTGCCTGTCCAGATTCCAGACCAGTCACACCTATTAAAGACTCCAGCAAACAGGGTCTCCACCCAGGGCCAGCAAATTCACTTTCTGCCATTCTAATCATACTAAAGAATCATGAACAAGGGGAACAAGCCACTCTGGAAAGAGCTGGTGCTTCCCCCAGGCCAGAGCTCTTCATTGCTCCTAATTGAGCTGCTCCAAAGGAAAAAATCTCTCCCCTCCTGGTCCTCAAGTACGTTGGTTCAAGCCAAATCCCACTCCATGTCAAACCCTGCCTTCCTGGGCAAAGGCATAGAAAAATACCAGGCAAAGGTCATGAAGGCCTTCCACGGTGAAGAAGGTTGAAAAACAAGCATTTAAAACATTGGAGTAATTTCTGTGAGCTATTTACTATACAGTGCAGCAATGTCTGGTGAAGAATCATTTGCCATTATAAAATTCCCCCAAATGTTGGCTGATGAAATGGAAAGCTGAGCTTTTACCAAGGTATTGAAAAAGGCGTCAGAAATATAAGGTAGCTGGATGAGAATTTGGGACACAATGCTGTGTTAGCATTCTGGGTACTAAACCACTGATTTACCCTTAAAAGAGAATCTGTCATGTTCACTAAAAAGCAGACAGTAATTCAATTTCTACAAGCCGGTGATCTCTCCCATTTTTAGATAGAACTCCGAGAAATTGCTACATTTCTCTCAGTTCAGCAAAAAGGCAATTTTGTGATGGACAGACACTGAATACACAGCCCATCCACTGAAGCAAAATAAAATGTCATTCCAACCATGCCAATAGACACGCACCAAGCTAAGCCAGAGTGGCACATGCTGCTCTTCTTCTGGATAGGAGTCACTGAAGGTTACACTGCGGCAAATGCCCAGAAAGTTGGGTTTCAGAACCTGACCTGTTGAGAGCCTGATTTAGAGAGATAATGAATCAGCACCAGTTGATCCGGATCTAATAGGTGCTGCCCAAAATCAATCATGCCTTCAGTTTGTCAGTCACGTAAAGACCAGGCTGCCTAAAGAATAATGGAAATCTTGTAAAGATTTATAGCTGACTTTTAATGAAATCAGGCTGCAGGTCCTTTGGGCAGAGAGCCATCCTTTCAAGCGTACCTTATCTTTTAAAATTAGATGAGCTGTGCTACTGGCAGACATGTATAAGCTAGGTCAAGCCTGAGGATATGGAAGCCATACGAATAAGAGCTACTAGGCTTTAACTTCTTATTCCTGCTTCACTCGATTTGTTTCTTACCTTTGATGATCAAAGAATGAAAGGTTCCTCCCTTTATTTTTGTTGGGATTTCCACAATTGTGCTACTTCCCCTACAAGTTGTTTCAATGGCAACCTCCAGCAAGGTGCCTCCTTTCCATACTTGCCCCTTTCTCAACCGTATTTGTGAACAGGTAGTTATAATCTCCTTCCACAACATCTCTTAGAAAGTACATTTGGTTGGAGAGGTCATGAGATAGGGACAATTTTCTACGTAACGATCAATCAGCTGGATGGATGGGTGGATGCTTCCAATGACAGGGGCCTTCCTTTGATGTCTTCTTGCCATTAATTCTTAAATTTTCTGTAACTCACAGACTTTAGAATCGTTTTTCTTTGGAAATGACGACTGTAAAGAACTGAGAAACAGATACTATAACATGGGTTTATGATGGATTTGCTTCTGTGCATCGCTGAGGGAATGAAGCAGTAAAGAGCAAAATACCCTAGAGAATCCAGACATTAAACCACAACACCCAGGTTAGCACCTATGGAGGGACAACTTTTCAAAACTGTCTTGTTGACAGAGTTGGGATTGTCAAGGATGGGAGTCTAGAGATGAGTTAAAGATTTCATTAGCTGGAAGACTCATCCTGCAGAAAGTGGGATGAAGCAGCCACAGTCAACTAACAGAGTGAAAGAGAACCTGGCTATGGCACACAAGAACTCTAATTTTGACACCAATGTTGAATTTGGTATGCCAAAGGGCTGATACGAGAACATCAAACATAGGAAAAGCAGTATGTACTTGGGTCTCTGTTATTTTACATCCATGGGAAAAACTGACATTTCTATTAAGTGACTTTCAGTGATTATATATGTGAAAGAAAGAAATCAGAAAGCCTTTTTGCTTACAGGTAATTTCTTCAGCCTGCTCACAGAAGCAAGGCTAAGCTCAATATAGAACTGATGGAATAATTTCTAGCAGTGGCTGTGTGATAGATTGCAGTGTTTGGGCCAGGAATCAATAGGGAATGGATGTAGTAAGATACCGGAAAGCCAGCAAAGCTTGAAAGAAAATAGGATGAAGACAGACTGGCTCATTTAGGTGGACTCATATTCCTGAGCCCAAAAACACACTGCAAAAAGAAATGAAAGCAAGAGCTGCAAAGGTGTGAACATGCAGAGATTGTTCAAGCAATCACCGAGTTCAGGAACTGCACGCAAATCCAAAGAGGATCTGTAGAAAAATGATGGGAGAATGCCAGTTCATGTTATTTCCAATCAATAAAGGATACATTTACACAAAACATTTGCACTTTTTTGTGCAGAAAATAAATAAACAAACCAAGCAAACTCATTTTTTCCACAGGAAGACTTTGGGGAGAATGTTTTTAAAAAAGAGAGAGAGTAGCAAACACAAGTGCACAAACAGGGTGCAGACCACCCTGAAGTGTAAGCAAAGCTACCATATCCTTTCCAGAAATGTTAAATGCCTCTAGGGGGAGATTTCTTTAGGAAGCAAGAAGAAAACTAAAAATCCCA